TAATCTGATCCCATCATGGGAATAACCACATCACAACTGCTTAAACCACAAAGAATTGTGGTCCAGCCAAGTTGTCACACAGCTCCAACTATCACAATGAGCAAAGTAGGTGAGACAAATTCTGGCCATTCTCGCTTCCAAAGAGCATTCCCGCTGTACTTCTTCCAGGACAGATTTGTTCGTTCTTCTGACAGTCCATGGTATTTTCAATATTCTTCACCAACACCACAACTCAAAGGCATCAACTCTTCTTCAGTCTTCCTTATTCTTTGTCCAGCTTTCACACGCCTATGAGGTGATTGAAAATACCATGGCTTGGGTTAGGCACACCTTGGTCTTCAAAGCAACATATTTGCTCTTTAACATTTTAAAGAGGTCCCTTGAAGCAGATTTGCCCAGTGCAATAGGACATCTAATCTCTTGACTGCAGCGTCCATGGGTGTTGACTGTGGATCCAAGTAAAATAAATCCCTGACAATTTCAATCTTTTCTCCATCCATCATGATGTCGCTTACTGGTCCAGCTGGGAGGATTTTCATTTTATGTTGAGGTGTAATCCATACTGAAAACTGTTGTCTTTGATCTTCATCAGTAAATGCTTCAAGCTGATGTTAGCCAGCCTTTTTCGTTGACCAGCCCAGAATTGGCATGATGAGCACATGAAAGGAGTGGCTGTGGTGACTTAGACAAGGCTTTGCCTGGTCCTACCAGCATGAACCCCCACATACCACACCCTATCTAGCCACAATGACACTGAATGTCCCACCTGCCAGCCACAGAGAACCAATGCCAAGCTCCCATTCTTTGAGGAGATCAACTGGCTACTTGGTGGCAAGTTGACCACGTTGGGTTCCTTCTGTCCTAGAAGAATCAATGCTTTGTTCTAGGGAAACAGATACTTGTTCAAAGTGTTGGTTAGCCTGTCCTGCCTGCAGATCTTCAGCCAGGACCACTATCCATGGGCTTAAAGAGTGTCTGATCCCCATGGAGCTTCACAGGATATAGCATCCAACAAGGAAACTCCTTTCACAGAAAAGGAGGTACAGGAGTGGGCCATGACCATGGGACCCAGTGGTCACATCCAATACCATTCAGTAGCAACTATGGGCCTTAGTCAGTAGTAATGTATCAATATTGGTTCATCAACTGTAACGAATGGACACTAATGCAAGATAATACAGGAAGCTGTACCGAGAGAGAGAGTATATGGGAACTCTATCCTTTCTGCCCAAATTTTCTGTAAATGGAAAACTGCTCTGTGGTAGTTACGTTTGTGTGTTAACTTGGCTGGGCATGGTTGAGTGGTTGGGCAGCTGGTGGTAGTTATTCCTCATGATGAGACTGGCAATCAAGTCCATGGTGGGATCTACCACAAGCAGCTGAGTAGCTGCCTTTGGGATGTGGTCTGCTTCCTGTATATAAAGAGAAGCCTTGGG